GGCAGGAACTGGTTCTCTTTGGGATTTTGGCTGGGGGATGGGCGGGGAAGATGGCGCTGGCGAGCGCCTTTGTTCCCCACCAAACTGAGCTCTGTCGTCCGGGGGCTCAGCAGCTTTCCTTCCCTTTGTCCTCCAGCCTTCCCGCTTTCTGAGCAGAGCTGTTAACTTATGACCTCCCAGCCGCTAAGTCGCGCTTGCTGTCAGAACACAGTCCGTCAGGCCCCTCCGCTTTTTGCAAGCCAGACTCAGGGGCTCTTTTTGGCCGGGGAGCCGCCCCTCCACCCCGGCTCCCTCCCGCCAGTCCGTGGAGCGCGCACCGCCTTGCCGCCCTTCCTACCCTCTTCCGTGGGCCTCTCGTCTGCGCTTGGCTCCGGCGACTCTGTTCTGCTAATCCTCTGGTGGTTTTCTGGGTTATTTAGGCAGGTGTAGGTGGAATCTAAGTGATCAGCAGGACGCGCGGTGAGCCCAGCGTCCTCCTACGCCGCCATCTTCCCTTCTCGTCCAGAAAGTTAATCTTAATAACAAACTCATGTGAATCATGGGATGCAGAAAACTGATTGCATATGAAATAATTATCAACTGAATGCAGAGTCTGTTGGACATTATCACTGGATAAAGCAAGGGGTTACATATGGCTACATAGCGGTCATAGCCTATCACTACCAGAAGGAAACATTCTGTAGTTGCACTGGAAGGAAAAAAGTAAAATTGGGTGATGCACTCTGCTAGGGATATCATTGCAGTCTTGTCTAAGAAATTGACTAGCATCTTGGGAGTTACAGAGGTTGAAGTACAAGCATCGGCAAAGGCTAAACCACCAAGGAACAAGTACATAGGCATGTAAAGATGGGCATCCTTCCAAATAAGAGCCATCAGTCCAACATTGCCCACCATGGTGATGATGTAGATGACCAAGAACATGAGGAAAAAGAGGAACTGCAGCCATGATCTCTCTGTAAGTCCTGTGAGAACAAACTCAGTGACCAGAGTCTTGTTTCCTTCTGACATGTCCACACTTGATGACGGTAATGAGAAAATATGTATCAAAGACAATCACTAAAGGTAACATAAAGTAGTGGCACTTTATTTGCACATTAAATTGTACCTTAGTGTTGTTTTCCATTTAATTAATAGTTTTTAAAGTTTAACTTTTAGCCTGTAGTAAATCTGTTTACAAATTCTTTAAGTATCTGATCCTAAAATTGGAAAAACCTGAAATAAAAGCAAATTTTGAGGCAATATTAAAACCATGTGAAGGGCTTTTGCAAGTGGAAGAAATACCATTGCCAAAACCATTGCATGAGAGAGAGAAATAGACTATCAATTTAACATAGGTATAACCATGTAATTTTATTGCAAAGAAAAATCCATAAACAAAGAGAAAGGACAAAAATATGTTGGGAAAATGTTTGGAACATATTCTGCATACATGGGTTTAATACATATAAAACACACACATACACACACACAACCTCTTACAGCTAGGTTCATGCAAGTTAAATAACCCAGTGGAACTAATGGGAAGAAAGTATGAGCAGACCTGTTTACGGAAGAGTAAGTCAACGTGACTGATAAATATATGAAGCAATGCTCATCCTCCATAAAATTAGAAATATTATTTAAATTGATACATCATTTTCACTAGTTAGAAAGGAGATAAGCTACAAAGCAAAATGAGAGATAATATCTGATGACAGGAAAGTGAGAAAGGAAGCATTTCCTACTATAACTGGTGAAAATGTAAATTGTAACAGCCTTTTATATCTGACATTATCTGTCAAAATTAGAAACTTATATAAACTTTGATCACCAGTCTTTGTCATGGGTATATATTCTAGAAATAATATCATTCACATACAAGAATAAAGTACAAGCATTGTAATTAATGTTTTAGTACATGAAGACAAGGACTGGAAACAAAGACAACTCCCAACTAAAAAAAACCAAATTGAATAGTTGAATAAATTATAGTGCAGTCTTACTGTGGAGCACTATTCAAACATAAAAGAAATGTGTTTGAGCTGCACCAGTTAACAATGGAAGCTTTTATTAATGTATTAAGTGAGGGAATCAAAATATAAAGAAATTTAAATTTTATGGGCCCATTTATATAATTTAAAAAATTATGCATATAAAATTTTTAAAAATGTGTGCATATAAATAAATATGATATGCATGTGGATAAATATACCAACTTTCTTAAAAAATTTTTTTAATGTTCATTCATTTTCGAGAGAGAGAGTGAGACAGAGCATGAGTAGGGGAAGGCCAGAGAGGGAGGGAGACACAGAATTGGAAGCAGGCTCCAGGCTCTGAGCTGTCAGCACAGAGCCTGACATGGGGCTCCAACCACAACCTTGAAATCATGACCTGAGCCGAAGTCAGACACCTAACTGACTGAGACACCCATGCACCCCGAAATATACCAACTTTCTAACATAGATTTTTCTGTGCAGGAGTAGATGTAGCATTAGGAATAGAGAAAACAGAAGAGAGAGATACTTACTTCATCACACCCCCCCCACACACACCAAAGTTCATGACAAAAACATGATATATATCATAAGCCCTTTTCTATGTAATTTTATTGTGTGTGTGTGTGTGTGTGTGTGTGTGTGCCTAGAAAGATATATAAAAGGATGGTCACAAGTATGTTAATAAAAAAGAAAAAGAAAATGCTATTGTAACCTTGAAAGAAGAGTCTTTGGCACTGAAAA